AGTGGAAACTGAGATTTGGAGGAGTGATTATTCTTATTGGAGTTCAAAAAGGTTTTATTTCAATATTCCAATAAAAGTTGTAATAAATTTGCAACTTTTTATGCTAACTTGGCTATTTCTGGAGATTTTATTTGGGATGTTATTAGTGGCAATAATATTCCTCCTTTTATTTCTTTGTTAAAGGAGGAATGTGATAGGTTATCTCTCTTTGAGTAATTTGTAATTAGTTTTTTCTTTAATACAACTTGTATTTTCTTTCAAAAAAAAAAAAAACTAGGGGTTATCTAATGCCCATCACATCAATTCATAGAATGCATTAACATTTAAAATAAATAATCACTTCACTTAATTTTTAGCAACCATCATGCAGTAAAAACTACAAAAAAATTAGGTACACAAGTAGTAGAAATGTAAACACCGGCATAGCCTAAAAATAGAGTTGGTTGTCCTAGCAAACCATCTATAGTGTGTGAACAAGGTTGTGTAGCTTGGATATATCTTTTGCTGAGTAGTTTGTTAAAGTTGCCTAAAAAATTAATTTATTGAAAGGTTTATGGGATTTTACTTTTAATTTAAGTATTAATATCTTAATGACAATTTTAAAATGCATTTTAATTGTTAATTTATTACTACCTTTGTTTACACCAAGGCCTTGAAGTTTATTTCATCTTCCTTCAGGCTAAGTTTAATATCCTCGTTGGCCCGGGTTAACCACTAGTAACCATTATGAACTAATTAATTTAATTGGTTGAAGCTTAAGGGTTGATAATTTTTAATTAAGTTAGTTTATTAATTATTTTAATGTTTGAATTGATGTTCTTCAGAATTTAAAGTCAATTATTGAATTCTGGATTTTTTTGGAATTATTTAATGTATTAAATTAATGGGTCAAAATTTAACTTTTTTATTTAAGTGAATTCTAGAATTTAAATATTTTTCTTAAATATTAGACCCAAAGAAGAGTAATTAGAGACTAAGTTTATTAGAATTGAATTTTTTTTAGATTTAATTATGAATTTTTAAAGTTTTGACTTAAATTTAAACTACATTTGACAAAAAGTTGACTTTTTTTTACTTTGAATTATTTATGATGGTTTAACTTTTTATTAAATATTAGACAGCAAATAGAGTCTAATGCCTTTGATTTTGTTCAATATGAAATTTTTTAGAATTAGTTATGAATTTTGAAAGTTTGACTAATTAATTCAATTTTTAATTGATTAATTGAAAGGGCTTTTAATGGTTTTAATCCAAATTGATTCCAAACTTCTTGAAATTACTCTCAAAGTTCAGGAATGACCTAAGGAAGTGTTTTCAAGTTTTTTAGAATCATTTGAAAATTTAATTATATTTAATTAAATAATTTAATTATATATTAATTTTAAAAAATAAATTAAACTTAAAATTAAAGTCCATTCAAAAGTCTTTTAATTTTTTTAATTTATGGGTTTAATTTTAGCCAATTTTATATATTATTTATAATTTTATGATTTAATTTGAATTAATTGTAATTTTTTGAACTTCCAAGCTTAATTAATGAATTAATTTTGAATTAATTAAATAATTGACTTAATGATTTTTAAAATCAGTGAAACTTTACCCTAAGATAGAGGATGTCACTAAGTTTAAGTGTTTCAAGTTTTGTCTATATTGGATGTATATTCAATTTTCTAAATTTTTCCTAAATTTATAAGACATATTCGTTATTATTATCTTTAAATATGACTAATTTGTGTAGGATTAATATCAATGTCCTCTAACCCTTAGCATCAGTAAAGTGCAACACACAACATATATCAAGTGCTTTAAAACTAGGTGCACATGCAATCCTAAGACATTAAGATTAAAGATAACTAATATAATTGGAAACTTAATCAAAGAGCAATTAAAAATGTAATTGCTCACTAATTACTCATCACTCCCCAATAAGTCCGTTCAATTAAGGCAAATATATGCTCAAAAGTTTAGACATCAACCTAAATGCATGCCATGGATTTAAAATATGAAATCAAAATAATTTTTGAAAAGTTTAAACATTAAAACATAAACCTGAAATTTTATAAATTAAAAATAATATTAAAATTAAATTCAAATAATTATAAAAAATTCACTAAACATTAATATCATATTAAAATAGTTTTCCTGAAAATTTGAAATTATTTGGATTTATATTTAATTAAATAATAATTAAATGCCAAATGATTAATATTTAAAATGATTTAAAATATTCTAATTTTAAATTAAAGTATTTAAAATTCTAAGAAAAATGGTATATTAAACTTAATTTTTGGATAAAACTGATTTTTTTTAAATTTTTTGAATTTTTGTTAATTAAATGCTTTAAAATGAATTAAATTAATCAGAAATCAAATCAGCGGTGGTGGTGGTCGCAACAGAAGGACACACAACGTAGTCTAGTTTGACAGATCAAAACCACACTAATCATTATTGGCAGTAAGATTTAATACTAATGATTGCATCGCAGACAATCATTAGCATTTAAAATGCACTGGCGGCGAGGTCCACGTGGTTTCACTAATCCAGAATAACAATACACCGACATCGTCCAATCTTCCACAGTTTAAAACGAGGGAAACATATGTGGTTGGATGGAAATCCCAATGGCTAGCTGCTAATACACGCGAATTACAATGCAAAAAGACAAAATCTCAGTCATTAATCAAGAGATTAATGACTGATATTTCGTACAACTTAATTGGACTACAAAATAAATCCTATAATAAAAAATCGTTCGTTCTTTGAGATTAACCATAATTTTGAATAAAATTTTAAACTTAGATTATAATAATGAGCAAAAATCATAGTGAGTAAATTATATGGTTTGAAATGAGCTTATTGAAAATCTAAATAACCATATGTGTCCTAGACTAGGCTTTAGGATTCACCTCAATATAGTGGATGGTTTGGACCATTTTAAGATATGGCTGAACTTATTGACAGTCCACGCTCAACTTTGCTGAAGAACACACGGTCTGAAACACACTCTAACGTGAGCTCCATGCCTTGGATAGAGTTGAGGCTTGGGTGGATGGAGGATGGCCATTGGCGAGCCTTTGATGGTCGGGTTGAACTTGGAAGATTTAGAGGAGATCCTTGTGAGCTCAAACAAAATGAGATTGAGCTCTAGGAGGCTGAGTGTGGTGAGAGAGTGATATCATTAGGAATGAGCTCGTTTTGGCTTTTTTTGCTCAATTGAAGCACCCTGGGCTTCTTGGACAGCTAGGATCAATTTGGAGGTTAGATAAGATGCTTGACACATGGCTAAAGTTGGTTAGAAGGGCAGGAGAAGGGACCATGAGTTGGAAATGTGGTTTTGTCTTGACATGGGGATGTGACATCTTGGGTTAGTTTAGTCTTAACCCATGGGTTAAAATCAATTGAACTGAGGTTTAGGAAGCTTCAAAAATGTGTTTAGATGGCTAGAATGGTTTTAAATGGAGCGCATTAGCTTGCCCTAGATGATTTGACTTCTTGACCACTCTTTACCCATTTATTAACTAAGTTAACTAGTCAAACAGTTAAAGGGTGATGAGGTGATAGGTAGAGAGTGTTGGGATGTATTTGAGTTGAGTCCTAAGGGCTTAATTGAAAATGCATGGAGATTTAACTAAGTCTATGGGTGTGTGACCAAATATATGAGTTGACTTTTGTTAAAGTCCCAAAGATTTGACTTGTATTGAACTTGAATACATTTAAACTTTGAAATGTTATAGGTCAAGGGCTTGATAGGCTTTGATTGAAGTGAGCATTGAAATGACCAAATGTAGGAGCGTTTGACCAAATCTAATATGTTAACTTGGTCAACCCATCAAGGCTTGACTCACCAATATTTAGGAGGCTTTGAGACCTAACATTGGGATAGATTTGGAGGATAGTATTTGAATGAGTTGATCTAATATGAAGTCTTGATTGGATCAAGTTTGACTAAACTTGTGCCTAGTTGACCAAGTTAATTGTTGACTGGGTTAAGGTGACCAGTAAACCCCAAATCACTAAGAAAATATATCAAAGGGTTTTGATAAAGTTTGTGTGCGCTTGGAGCTTGATTCAATATAGAAATGAATTAATGGTTGATTTGGTCTTCTATGATTGACTTGGTCAATAAGGTCAAATCAGGGGTTGGGTTTAGGCTCAATATGATTGATTTGATAGGGGACCAATGGATGTGATCTCCTGAACTGTAAGGGCATTCAAATCAAAATGATCATTTTAATCCTTAAGAGGCCATTTGGTCAACTAGGATTGACTTGGTCAACTAGGTCAGATCAAGGCTTGATTTTGGGTCCAATATGTCCAAAATGATATTTTGAGTTTAATGAAAGTGGTTCCATGATTAAAATCCAAACAATTAATTGACTTAAAACTAAATTTAATTAAATAATCATAACTTCAATAAATTTAAATTAAACTTTAATCAATTAAATTTAAAAATTAAATATAGTTAACTAATATTTAGTTAAAGAAACATTTAACTAAATTCTAAACCTTCAAATTAAATTAATGGAGAAAATCAATTTAATTTAAATAATTAAATAACTTTAAAATATATTTAACATATAAACTCAAAACTAATTAATTAAATCAATCGATTGATTAAAGTAATTAACTTCAATTAAATTAAAGAACATGGAATGGATGTTGTTTTTCCAATAATCCCACCTAAGTACAAGCTAACAACTCTCCAGAATAAACAACAATTTTTAAGTAGCTCCCCAACAAAGCTCTCAAATCAAAACAAGCTTTATGTGTTAAGAGTAATTAATTATAAGGGTTTGCCCTCATAGAAATTAGAACCTCAGATCTAAATAAATTATTAAAAATGTAATGAAGAATCAGAATAATTTTATAAGAAATAAAATAAAAAATTAGAATTTAATACGATTTTTATAATAATATTATAGATTTAAAGTATTTATGCCCAAAACTGCACGGGAGATTTTGCCTTCACAAATTTTCCAATAAGGCAAAATTTCCAATAGAATTTGTGACATTAAATAATGTTATTGATGCAATTTCGCGCCTCTTCAGCCTTCATCTGTCGCCCAATAAATTATTTTCCTATCGCGTAACGTAATCAAAGAACAGCCAAAATAATGTCGTCTAAGATCAACGTTCTATTTGTTCATCCCTAAAGAAAGCAGCGCGAAGAAACCGAAAGAAAGCAGAGCGATGGCTGCCATCTTCGCCTGCAAAGCTATCTCCTTTGACCTCAACTCCGTGTACGCGCGATCATTGTCGCGCCCGCTTGCCGGCCGGAGACTGTATTGCCACGTATCATGCCAGAAGTGCTCGCGGGAGATCGAAGGCCCCTTTCGAACAGTGGAGACAGTTTCGATTTCGTACTCGGAGCTCAAGGTGTTGTCGTGAAAGCATTGTGTGCTTATTTACTCCTTCGCGTGTTGTCTTTCTGCTTACTAAATTGGCGCCCTTTGAGATGACGCAGGACAAGCGCCTGGATTTGTCACCAAAAGTCGAAGAAGGGTTTGGACCTAATGGTTTGGGAATCATATCTGTGTCAGAAGTACGTCGTGTATACGCTAAGTCTCTTTGTATTTTTTCCTTTATATCAGTGTTCGTATGCTTAGACTCTGGAAGACTATACTTCTATTTGTAGGGGTTTGGAAGGGTATTTAATATCGCAAGAAATGAAACTTGTGTTGATATTTTTACACGATCGGGTTGGATTCGATTGGAATTTATTTAATTAGAATTTGATTTGGGTTCATTCTTATCGTACTGATGCCGTTAATTGTGCTGCATGTAAAGAATGGGTTAAAAAGCTAGTGATATATTACCTATTTGTATGCTGAACATGCAAGTCTTGAAGTTTTATTTGCTTTTTTATGTATAGTTGCGCATCTCTATTAGCCTGGTGTGGAGGTTTAGTAGCTTTGTGGCTATATATGTATATATTATAATGTACATCTGTAAACTTGTCTGTGGTTTTAGACATTGGGTTTAGCATTTGATTTGATAGAATCTATATGCATATACTGTAATGTAAATCTGTAAACTAGACTGTGGTTTTTTACATGGGTTTTTGTATTTGATTTGATAGTATTAGAAAAGGCAACAACATCAAGCCTTAATCCCACGACATGGTTTCGACTAAATGAATCCTTTTTCTCCATTGTGTCATGTTAAGAGTTAAATTCTCATTTAAATATAATAAAAAAGTTATTTCTAATATTTTCTAACCAAGTCTTTTTAGTTCTAACTCTACCTTTCTTAATTTAAGCCAAATTTAATACATCTACTCTCCTAATCGGGTCATCGAAATGCCGATATTTTATGTGACCCAACTAGCTAACGCGACTCTCTCTAATCTTATCTGCCATTGGAGCTACTTCAACGTTTTCACGTATATGCTCGTTTCACATTCTTCCTCTAAGAGTAAAGCCACTCATCCACCTGAGCATCATCATCTCTACAACAACAGCAACAACAACAACAAGCCTTTATCCCACTATGTGGGGTCGACCCCATGAATCATTTTTCTTTATTGTGTCCTATTAATAGTTAAATTCACTTTTAAATCTAATAAAGAAAGGTCTTTTCTAATATTTTCTAACTAAGTCTTTTTAGGTCTACCTCTACTTTTCTGAACATAAGTTAAATCTAATGCATCCACTTTTCTAACTGGGTCATCGGAAGGCCGCTGTTTTATATGGCCAATCCATCTAAGGCGAATCTCTAATCTTATCTTCCATTGGAGCTACTCCAACCTTTTCACGTAGAAACTAATTTTTTATCCTGTCTCTAAGACTAAAGCCACTCATCCTCCTATGCATCCTCATCTCTGCAACACTTAACTTAATATTATGCTTCTCTTTAATGGCCAACTTTCTGCACCATAAAGCATTGCAGGTCTAACCGCCATCTTTTAGAAATTTTCCCTTAAGTTTAAGGGGGACTTTTTTATCACACAATAGCTGATGCAATCCTCCACTTCAACCATCCAACTTGAATTCTACTAATAATATCCCTATCTATTTTACCATAACTCTGAACAAAAGGCCCAAAATATAAAAAATGTGTACTCTTATTAATGACTTGATCACCCAAATCAAACCCTCATAGATCTATTATTACTAAAATTACACTTCATATATTTAGTTTTAGATCTACTTAAATGATAGCTTTTAGGCTCTAAGATTGACCTCCATAGTTCAAGTTTACCTTAAACTCCATCTCTAGTCTTATCACACAAGAAAAATATCATCAACAAAAATCATACACCTAACCTCTTGCAAATGTCTAGTGACAACATCTATGACTAAAGTAAAAAGATATGGGCTTAAGGCTGATCCTTGATGTAATCCAACTAAAATAGGAAAATACTTGGTCAAACCACCTTGTGTTTGAACACAAGTAATAGCTCCTGCATGCATATCGTTAATGATTTGAATATAAATATTATTAATTTCTTTCTTTTCTAAAACTCTCTATAGTACTTCTCTTGGAACTTTATCATATGCTTTCTGTAAATAAATAAATATCATATATGGATAGTCCTTATACTCTCTATACTTCTCCATCAAACCTCTCAATAAATGTATAACTTCCATAGTAGACCTTTTCGGTATGAATTCAAATTAATTTTGGGAAACATTAGTATCACGCCGCAATCTATGCTCCATAACTCTCTCCTATAATTTTAAATTATGACACATTAACTTAACTCCTCTATAATTCACACAATCTTGTGCATCACATTTATTCTTAAAAATATGAATTAACACACTCATTCTCCACTCATCTGATATCTTTTTAGTCATCAAAATTATATTAAAAAGTTTAGTAAGCCTAGAAATTGCTTTATCTCCTAAGTATTTGAAATATTATCAGGTCCAACAACTTTTCAATACTTCATTTTCTTTTACACACTTGTCGCTATATTCAGATCATACAAAACATCACTTCCATGGAACGCTCTATTAATAACAAAATGTATTAAAATATTCATGTCAGGTTTATTCGACAAGTTTTACGTTGGCTTTTGACTACCTAACACAGCCCTTCATTTTCACATTCGGGACTTGGGACCTAGCTACGACAGTGTTTGATAGTATTAGAAAAGAAAAGAAAACTTGAGATCTTTACTGGAGTCTAGAGGGTAGACTTGGTGCATTTTGACAATAATTACTATGTTTCTATTCTTTTCATTACCATTTTCTGTTATTTTAATTTATAGATTTTTAGTTTCTGGTTGGATATAATTGCTTTGAAAAGTTTTTCGATGTCTTGAATTGCTGTTATTTATTTAAGTACTTGTCAATAACTTGTTTTGTAACCTCCTGCTGCTAATTTGATTTTGATAACTATTTTTTATTGCCTTGTGTTTTGAACTGCAGGTGCCTGGATTATCTGATTTACGTCAAACTGTTTTAAATCTGTCACCCAGGCATACAATGCTGAATTATTCTCATGTCTTCTGATATTTGTATTCTTTTCTTTTGGTTTCTTGTTTAAGCCCTGCGGTGATAGTCTTATATATAATAAACAACTTATGATTTCTCCAGAATAGCAAGCCTTCCTACTAATGTGAGAAATCAGCTTGAAGATCCTGACAGCAGGTATGGACTAACTGCTATGGTTATCAAACATAGATTTAAGAATATGAAGTAAAGGTAAAAGAAATAGAAAAGAAATGAGGATATCACTTTGATAGTGTATATTTTTATGCCTTGTTTTGAAAGTTTTTCTTAACTTTGTTGTGGTTTTAGCATGCTTTAGCTTCACATTCTGATTAATTTTCTATATGAAACAGGCTACAATGCGTTATCAAAGCTCAATTTAAAGAAGGTTTTCCTTTCATTTATAACTTTTTAATAGGGAGACGCAAGTTTGCAGCAACATTAGTTGTTGTGTGATAGAAAAGTTCCACTCAAACTTAAGGAAAAATTTGTTATGGGGGTGACAGGCAGCCGGTCCACTTAGCCAGCCCAGCTGGGCCTGATCCAGCAAAACTAGGTGGGCAGAGCTTGAGCGAAACAGGCAGCAAGTTTGGCCCCCTTTGTGGGGCCCGACAAAGATTTGATTAAATATACTAGGAGAGGAAATAAGGTGGGAAATAAGAAAGGAAAGAATTTTAATTTTGAAATAGAGAAAGAGGTAAATTAATTAAGGGTGCTTCTTTTGGGAGGAATTAGGGAGTTTATTTTGGGTTGATTCTAGGGTTTGTTTTTCAAGTTTTGTTTTGAGAGTTTGCAATAGTTTATTTTTAGAGTTTTCTTAAGGGTTTTCCAGCAGCATCTAGGTCAAGTGGGAGAGACAATCTACCTCTTTAATAGTAGATCATTGTATCCTGCTTTGGTGTTGAAGTTTTAATACAAAAATAAGCTGTTGTTTCTCAATTTCTATTGTTTTTATTGTCTTTTCTTTCTGATTTCGTCTTCAAGGCATATCAAATTAGCATCCGAGCATGTTCTGGACCAAAAATCGTCGTCTACTTGCTAAAATCTACTGCGAAATCCCTTCCATTTGTTGTTTTTTTGCTAATAGAAGACATTTAATCGCCGTTTTTTTTGCAGTTTGAGACCTAAATCCGTGAATAACAGCGAATAAGATGGAGTTGGATGGAGAGATCGAACAACTTAAGACCTATATGGATGAAAAATATTCCAAAATGTAAGAATGGCTGTCATCCATGGAAACTCGGATGAAAAACCGATTCGAGAACATGGAAGGCATGATGAGGAAATTAATCAAGATGTAGTCGAAGGCACCATCGGCTAGTCCTAGGGCTGATTGGGAAGAAAAGTGACTTCAAGAAGACTATGATGAAGTAGAGATGGTTTTTCCTCAAGAATAGTTTCGAAGGGCCCCGATAGGAACATAAAGGTATTTAGGAGGGTCAATAAGGAGAGGGGAGGTCGAGGCCTTTTGGAGATCACCTAGATAGGAGGGACGGTGGGCCGGAGAAGGCAACAGCTGGGCTGCACCTTGGGGGTCCAAATCCGCTAAGGGAAGAAGGGAGAGAATCAAACCACCACTACACGGGAGGAACCAATGGTGGAAGAAACCATTGGGGTATGGATGATTGGTCGAGGAAGCTAAAGATGCCGGCCTTTGAAGGGGAGGATGCTCATGGTTGGGTATACCGGATGGAACTCATGGAGGCAGGTCTATGTTTGGAAGGGAAAGCTCTATCCTGGTTCCAATGGAGGGAGACGAATTATCCGATCTACTCATGGGAAGATTTTAGGATTGTTTGTTGGAACATTTCCGAGCCATTTTGGAAGGAGACCTCCATAAGCCATTCTATGCCCCAACTCAGGAGGAGATAGTTATGGAGTATCGAGAGAAGTTTGAGATGCTGTCGGGAAGTATGAGGGGAATATTTGTGGTAAGGATTGGAGGAAAATTTCATGAACGGGCTTAGGGAGGACATATGATCTGAGCTTAGGGTACTGAGGTCTAGAGGGCTAAGAGAGACAATAGAGCTAGCATAGAGGGTGGAGGAGAAGCAGCAGAGGGAGAAGGCCAACCGGAGAAACCACATGGGAGGTACATACATGAACACAAATACTACCTTAGAAGTTGGCACCAAGGACTCAGATGGCGTCCATTCAGAGGGAAGCACCTAAAGAGAAGAGCACTGGAGTTTGTCTGGGAGGCAATATCAAATGCCTCACAGAAGAAGAGGTGTATGATCGACGGGTAAAAGGGCTATGCTTCAGGCGTGATGAGAGATTTACACTCGGGCATAGGTGCAAGAATCAAGCCCTTCAAATCTTGATGGTCTGTGAAGGTGAGGAGGAGAGTGGGGATGAGTTGGAGGAGGTTGCCGAGGAGGTGGAGAAGTTATGATTTGATATGGCTGAGGTGTCTTTGAACTCTGTGGTGGGATTTATCCCAAATCACTCCATGAAGGTAAGGGGGCAAATTGTGGAGCAATATGTCGTGGTCTTGGTGGATAGTGGATCCACTCATAAATTCATCTCCAATCGGGTCGTGGATGAGTTAGGATTGAAGCTAGTGGATACGAGGAGTTTTGGAGTCATGGTGGGGACATGAAAGGTAGAGAGGAGTAAAGGGATGTGCAGGGAGTTGGTGCTAGCACTCCAGGGCTTACAGATAGTGGAGGATTTTATTCCCTTGGAATTGGAAAGCACTGATGTCATCCTAGGAATGAAATGACTATATATCATTGGAGAGACCAAGGTGGACTAGAAGTCTTTGACTATGAAGATGCGGGTGGGAGGGAGAACAATAATGCTGCGAGGGGATGCCAACTTATGCAGAACCATGGTATTACTCAAAACCATGGTCAAGATGATACATGGATCAGGATAAGGCTATTTAGTAGAGCTACAGAGTTTGAAGGGGGTCTGAAACTCTTCGAAAGACCTGATCCCTGAGTGTGTGCATCATCTTCAACAACAACTTCCAAAGTCTTTCAGCAACCCAGCGAATTACCCTCCCCCCCCTCGTGAGAATGAGCATGTAATTTCCTTGAAGGAGGGAGTTTCTCCTATTAGTGCTTGACCTTACAAGTACTCACATATCCAGAAGGATGAAATCAAGAGGCTCATCAGAGAGATGCTGGATGCAGGGATTATTAGACTCAATGTGAGCCTTTTTTTCCAACCCTCTGTTACTGGTGAAAAAGAGGGATGATAGTTGAAGGTTTTTGCGTAGATTATAGGGCCTTAAACAAGGAAACCATATTGGATAACTTTCCTATATCTGTGATTGACGAGTTGTTGGATGGGCTATTTGGAGCAGTGATCATCTCAAAGATTGACTTGAAATTGGGATACCACCAAATGAGGATGAAATCAGGGGATGTGCATAAGACTGCTTTCAGAATTCACAAGGGCCATTATGAGTTTTTTGTGATGCCTTTTGAACTTACGAACGCTCATACCACTTTTTAGTCACTCATGAATATGCTTTTTCAACCCTATCTTAGAAAATTGACTTGGTGTTCTTTGATGACATCCTGATCTACAACCGAACAGAGGAAGAGCATAGGGAGAACCTGAGGACGGTGTTGGAGACATTGAAAGAGTATCGATTTTATGCCAACCTAAAGAAATGCTCGTTTACACAGCCACATGTAGAGCTTGGGACATGTGGTTGTTGACCTCGATTTTCGTATGAGTGCTCTTGAGGGTCTTTGGTTGATTTAATTGGACCTCGTCGAGCCCAGTTCAGGTCAATGCCAATTTAGGTCCGATTGAGTTGATTCAAATTCGATTCAATTAAAATCGATTTGATGAAAATGCAATTGAACTTGAATCGACATGAAATTGGGTTAAATTAGGCCCGATCGCATTCGATTAAATTAGATTCGTTCATTTTAGCCACGTCGAGTTTGATTTTATTCGAGTCGTTGTTTTATTTAAATTTAATTAATTTGATTAAATCAAACTGAATCCAAACTGACCCAAATCAACTTAAATCAAACCCGGTTCAGGTTCAATTTGAGCCTCAATTGGTTTAGCTTAATATTAATTAAAATCCAAATCCCATTTTAGGTGGTTTGAATTCTTCTCTAAATCAGGAAGCTTAATCGGAGGGCTAATGTCGAATTGCAGTGGTTCATATTTGATCCTCGGCAGCTGCAGGCTCTATTCGTGTGTTTGAGCTACTGCATTGGCGGATGGAAAATGGCGGGCTTCTCTTTTCGGCATACCAAAGAATGAAGGCTCTAGACGAAGGAGTTATGATTCCATTCGGTTCTTAGCATCCGGACTCTTTCTCCCGTTCTTCTCTGTTCGAATACTCTCCCTCTCACTATCACTCTCGGTCTGTAAAAGCAAGGAGGCGAAACTCCTCCTTCCTCCCGTCTCTCTTGTTCACGCACCCCAGCGAGGCTGACGCCTCGTCCCTGTCTGAAGTAGCCCAGGTCGCGACCTCCCCTTGCCCTAGCCGAGCCCGACGCCTCTAACCGATCCGAGCGGGTCCTCTCCTCCTTTGCAAGGTATATCTTCCCCTTTTCTTTCTCCTCTTCTTCTCCTTTTTCTTCTTCTTGTTTCTTCTCATTATCATCGTCTTCTTCTTCTTCTTCTTATTTCTTCTCAATCTTCTTCTTCCTCTTTAGCTTCATTTGCTTCTCATTCTAATCTAAGATCTTGTGGATGATTTAGTTGGTAACAAGTTATGTCTATGTGGAGTTTATTTTGACTAAGATTGAAAGTGTGGATGGAAATTTCATGGTGTATATGTCATTACACCTTTAGTCCTCTTGATTTTTAGTAAATACATTCACTCTCTATGTTAGATTTTTTTTATAATATCTTGCATAATTGATCTTACCATCATGTGTTGATTGAATGAACAATGAGTTTGTGAAAGTTTTATTTGAAGCATGTCATACAATTTAATATTTTAGGTGTAAATGTTATAGAAGTTATGAGAGGTCATGAGGGGCTATGTTATTTGCTATAAAAAAAATATGCATATGAGATGTTTGTAGTAATGCCTCCTAAGAGATAGTTAATATATTTATGCTTCGTCTCATCTTTATCTTTCTTTTATGGATATGGAAGTTCCGATAGGGTGAAGAACATACGTTCTAAACCTATTTGCCTTGCAAACAATTGACAAATGCCTTATTTCATAAGAAGATTTATTAGTTTGAGCTACATATTTCTTTTCCTAAGAAAAATTTCCATCTTTTGCTAGTAAATGTGCTCTAGTGATTTTGGTGTGGAGGG